TATATATATATATATATACACATATACATGAAGAATAATATTTTACAACTATTTTACATACAGTATAATATATACACATGTAACTATTTTCTTGGACCTCATCTAAGGGCCTGACCTTTGACCTGGCCCATCTGTCCGTTTTAAAAATATGGCCCTTGACCACAAAAGTTTGTCCACTGCTCTAAATTTTCCGTAGGTGTTAATGTGGATGTGCCATGCAATTGACTGCCGACCAGTCCAGGGTGTTGCCTGCCTTTCGTCCAAGAGTCAGTTGTAATTGGCTCTAGCTCACTTACAACCCTTATGAGGATTAGGGACTATAGAAAATGGATTGATGAACGATTAATAATTACATGTACCAGAGTAGGCATTATTTGTGTTGAGGAAGTAGATTTCCTCCCGTCCATCTCCATCCACATCACAGGCCGTGACCCCAATAGCGTTCCCAGCAACATCCCTCAGAGCATAATAAGGTGAGGTACTGTCATCGACAGCAATGTTTACCAGTTTATTCTGAGTATGGTCGTATTTCAACACCAGGTTCGGCCCATTGTATCTGAAGGTAGAATGAAAATTGTGAGCAATCCAGATACAGACACACTGCCATAATTCACCAGTCAGCCTTTCAGCTTCAAACCCCTTTCACTCACCCAGCCACCACTACTTCGAGGTCGCCATCACCATCCACGTCTGTAACTGCCATCCCATAGTTGAGCTGTGTTGGATTGTGCAGCCTGTCAGTAGGAAGGATGGTCTGTGTAACTTCCTGGAACATTGGTTCACCATTCTGAGAGTGGGATTTCTCCCACAGTACGATCAGAAGGACCAACAATACTGTCGCCCGCATTTCTGTATTCTGGTGATACAAAGAGAAAGTATGAATGATCATTCTTCAGAGATGGTCACTTTACACTATTATGCCGGTCTGTCCTGCGTCCGCGACCTTGGTACCCTTCCATCATTGGTCCCTCCGTCCTTTCTCAAAAATGATCATCCTTCATCCCCGTTGACATCTTTACTTAATGCTCACATCAACCTCTGAGTATATTAGAATGATCGCCCAAGTATTAGGGATTTTAAGGTATTTTCTTCTGAACAGAGGTGCTCACTACAAAGCTTGAGAGAAACGCGTCATCCATAAAATACAACACACATGACATGTCTTGCAACATTACACAATGCTAAAGTTTGAAAAATGTGCTGAACTCTCGCATTCAAACATTGACGTTTTCATCGCATGCACGCCTGCCCGCCTCTGCCGTACTGTAGTTGGTCTATACGCCTGCCTACCTCTGCTGTAGTGAGATCAAATTGGATCACAATTATCAAATTAGATTAATGTATAAATGAAGAATCTTCATTTTTTTTCCAAAGGAGCCTCGTGCAGTCAATAAAATCAAAACAAAACACGTAACATACATTCCTACTGGCCACCTGTCAGATCTATCCGTGAGTGGAGATAAAACAGATTATGCTCAGATTTTCACCAGCGATGATGCGTGAGCGACAGATTACACAACTGTACTATATGAGGTTTATGAAAGAGTGGAACAGTTAGCCAATCAAATTCCAGGACATTGTCCAATAGCTGCCGAGCATAAATCAGATTAAATAATGCCAATTGTCGAGAATGAATAGTTTATTGTACATCGCGTTAATGAAATACAGTACAATATATCTTTTATTAAAACGTGTTTACAAGAACAAAAAAGGTTTGAGAAAGTATCGTCTCCAAAACCACCCTGCGTTTCATAACGGCTTGCGGGAACACTACTTCCCACCATCCTTTGCGTTCTGAAGACTGGCTACGTCAGTCCTGCGACAAAATCTGACGCTAATAAAAACACTGGTAGGTTTTATGTGACACCTTTCAACCTCCTCCATTGATGGAATGTAAAGTATAGAACAGCATGTCATTGATGGAAATGTGATGTGTAGAACCGAAAGTTTATGGAATGAGATTTCACTCGTGTCCTCTTCATTGCAACCTCGATGAATAGATAATTAGCTTGCAGTGTTTAGCTAGTTGTACTTAGCCCACAGTGATTATGGTGGGCATGGTCAGGGTTTTTTACAGGACAAAGTAATCGGTATTGTATTTTAATTGTGGTACTGTTACCCCCGCCAACTTGTGTCGCTGTGTTCTAGACAGACTGACAACACGACAATGGAAACGGAGCAACCAAAGAACGATAATGCTTCAGACACACCTGCGACGTCTCAGTCCAAAAAGCCAAGCCAGGCTCTTTATGTGCCAAAGAAACGAGTCAACGCACCGAAAGAGAAACCTCACATCGAGGGAGAGGTAAAACCAAGACCCAGGCCTCGCTACACGGACAAGGCTCGCAAGAATGTCAAAAACAAGAAAAACAAGGCAGCCGGAGGAGGAGATGAGAAAGAGCCTGTTGGAGTGCATGGAGTGGAGATGCAGACTGGTCATGGCCGCACTAATTCTGCTGTTGAGGTTGAGCTGCTGCAGGGGCCAGAGGAGACGACCAATGGACAGCTTGAATCGGCTGATGTTACCAATGCATCATTTCATGACGAAAAGGAACAAGAAGACAGTTGGGACACCTTATTTAACGATGATGGAGATTGTCTCAATCAGCGATTGCTTGAAGAGGTTGGTAGGTCTTTAACTAAAATGAATACAATCAAAACAAATTGTGGTAAAGTTCCTATAAAATGTTGATGGAGGATGGTCAACTGTGGTGCAGTGACCCCCCCCGTTCATGGGAAGGACATGTTCAAGACTCAGTTGTAATAAGTGAAAATAGACCATCCATTCATCAACTTTCTAATCTGATTCTCTTCACGGGGGTCGCGGGCGTGCTAGAGCCTATCCCAGCTGTTTTCGGGCATTAGTTGGTGTTTACCCCGATCTGGATGCCAGCCAGTCACAGGGCACACATAAACAAACACAACCTTCCCGCTCACACTCACACCTAGAAACAATTTTGAGTGTTCCATTAACCTGCCACACATTTTTTTGAATGTGGGAGGAACCCGGAGAAAACCCACACAGGCACGGGGAGAATATGCAAACTCCACACAGGAAGGCGGGAGCCAGAATCGAGCTCTGCACCTCTGCACTGTGAGGCTGATGTGCTAACCAGTTGGCCACGTGCTGTTCTTGGGGCATATGCCAGAGGGAAATAAATACACTATTGGCATTTTCAAATCTTTATAGATCCATTTTTAAATCCTTTTTTGGATTTCTCAAGTTTGACAGGTGTTTTGCTTTGCCCTTGGCTCAGTAGCCAGTAAAATCCGTGCAACCCCGAATGAGATGTGCAAGGATCTCTCAAGAGATTAGAAACTCACTATTTGTAGACGGACACAACCTACTCAAACAATTCACAGGTTTTGAAATTCTCTAAAAGACAACCCCTCCGTCCGTCCGTCTGTCTGTCACTGTGCATATTATCAGGGCAAACATTCAAGGGTTTTCAAACTTGAACACAATATATTAGGAGAACACTACCGGTACCTTTTTCTGAGTAGGAACTATTGTCAGCGAGTAAATGGTCTGCTCTAGTAACAGCTCAATTTCTTGACAAATATTTAAATACGGTATTTTAGAAGTATATAGACCGAACGCACACTTATGTTTTATTTGAATAGTTCAGGATCACAAATTAGGTTTTATTTGAGTAGTTCAGGATCGCAAAGGAAATTGAAGTAGCTGTCATCATCACCTTTTAATTCCTCTTCCTTATCCTCTTTTCTCCAGCTGTCTTTGAGTGAAGGTGGAAAGAAGACGTCAATCCAGGACGCCAGATTTGATTACTACAACATGCAGCGGTTTGATGATGACGACATGGACCAGAGTGAGGATGACCTTTCTCACATGATCGAGATCTACGATATTCCCCCCGAGTTTAAAACAGAGGATCTTCTCAAGTTATTTCAGGGATACCAGTATGTAAATTTCACATCATTTACACTCTCTGTCCTCACAACATTAGCTTTACCTGCATGATGTAATCCAGTGCAAGTGGTGGATCAAAAAGAGAAAGCACTGTCTGTGAGGTCATAATTTAAGAAAATGGATCAATGTGAGAGCTTTTACGGCTCTCACTGAGTAACCAACATCATAACCGAAACATTTCTCACTGCTGCTGCATCAGTTCTGTAAGCTTGTATCATGATAATCATGAAAATATGTGCAAAACTCTTGTGACAGTGTGATTAAAAACTGAGCATTACTTTAGTCATCGGTGTCCAGTAGATCTCAACAGAAAAAAAACCCATCCTGCGGAATGATGCTGTTTTTTCCTGACTCACTTAACGCTGACCAACAGTGCTTTGGATCATACATTGACTTTGTGTATGCGTTTTTTCTTTTGTTGTTGTTTTTTTTGTTTGTTTATGTTGACCTTTTTTCCCCACACACTTTTCTCTTCCATGACTTTTCAGACAGAGAGGCTTTGATATCAAGTGGATTGATGACTCACACGCTCTCGGTCTCTTTTCAAGCCCAACTGTTGGTAAGTCAAGCACGAGTAGTTCAGAGGTAACCGCTTGCAGAGGAGATACGCATCAGCCATATCGCACTGCCCTACTGAGCACATTGTTTAAAAAAAGGTGATTATTTAAGCTTTATATGTATGTATATATATATATATATTATTGTTTATTGAACATATAGAACGTACAATACAATAACAGATTGACAAAAGTGAAGGCAAGTAAAAATTATAAAAGGAAAAAATAAAGACAGACGACATCACAGTTTTATGTTCAAAGGAGTAGGAATATTGACCAGTTTATTTGACTTTTTTCATAGTTGTGTTTACCTTTTATTAAACATCAACTTTTGTATGTGAAAATAAAAGTCCTTACTTTGACTAGCATGTTCTCTCCTTGCCTGCGTGGGTTTTGTCGAGGTACCCTGGTTTCCTCCCACATTCCAAAAACATGCATGGCAGGTTGATTGGATGCTCTAAATTGTCTCGAGGTGTGAGACGGTTGCTTGCCCTGCGATTGGCTAGAAACCAGTTCAGGGCGCACCCTGCTTGCTGCCCGAAGACAGCTGGGAGAAGCTCCAGCACGCACGCGACCCTCATGAGGATAAAGCGCTTCAGCTGATGGATGGATGGATGGATGAACTTTGAATCGTAAAACAAACAAATCAATATCGATCAGTATGACATATTTTCTGTATAGCATGTTCGAGTAATGTTAAGGCAGCACTTATATTTTCGTCTGAGCATGGTTTTGAATTTGAAATGGTATTGATTACAGTTAAGCAACAGGAAACATGGATATGGATTGGTTGATCTCGGCTGAACAACCAAATGAAATTCGGTTATCTGAAATAAACATTGATCTTTGATCAACTTTATGCAACTGGAGTAAACCTCTTGAAGTTCCTCACTGGTTCTATCATGTTGTATTGGCTTTAAATATTTGCAAAGGCCATCTCTTAATTTGTATGTGACACACATTCATATATGAACTGTGTCTAGGCAGGTCCATCAAACATTTGGACTTCTGCTACTCAGGTCACCTTGGCAACAAGAGGATGCTATTTGTCTTGTTTCCAGGCAAAGTACTGTAATCAAAATGTTCATATTAAGGTAAAATACTCCATATTGTTGCCTTAAATATTGTTACATTTTTGTCAATTTTTTGGGGGGGTGAAATATAAGTTTTTTTTTTAATTGTATTCGTTTGTTTATTCATTTATTATTTTATTTATTTAGCTCGTGAGGCATTAAGATCCAAACATCCACTGATGAAGGTGCGACCACTCTCCAAATCCACTTCAGAGACGAAGGCCACCGCTCGTAGCTTCTCTGGTAGATTGACAGTACTCTTTGAGTTGTATCAGATTTCTTCTGTCATGGAAGACACGTTTTGTTTTTTTTCCTCCCATCTTTAGAGTCCCCCCTGATTGCTAAGGAGAGACCTCAGACCAGTGCAGCTCTGGCTCGCAGGCTTGTGATCGGCGCCCTTGGTGTGAAAAGCAACGTAACAAAGGAGCAGCGGGAGGCAGAGAAGAGGAAGCTCCAGGAGGCCCGAGGTAGATAAAAACCTCAGTTTATATTTGCAGGTCGGCATTTTCACACATTGGATGATTTTTCGGGCCAGGGAACATAGTCCATGTTATTCACGGAAATTTCACGGTTCCTCACCTACCATAGTCAGGTTTTCATCAAGCAACAATTCTCACAAGCATATATTTTCTTTCTGATCTGTGGGAATATCATACATAAAACTGCAGAACGCAGAGTGTTTGTATGTCCACAGTGAAAAAAAACTCATCAATAACTGATTGCTGAAGAATCCACGATTTAGCAGTGGAGCACTCGACTGCTGTAGGTAGTCCACCAGAGGGTGACAATTTTCTTTACTTCTGTCCAGGCAAAAAAAAAACAAAAAACAAAAAAAAAAAAGACCAACTCAGTGTTTGCATCATGTATCAACCTGCGTTTACCACAAGTGGGCGCTCTTCTGCCACTGAGCAAATCAAGTGCAGGGTGGCGTTGCAGGTTGGGGCAAAATGAAGTTGCTCTCTGTCCACTGCTGTGTGGCTCAAAGCAAGTCTATAATCAGGGCAGCAGCCTTTCCCTTTACAGCGGGAACTTTAAGTATATAGGCACAATAAACCACAAGTGGCTGTCCACTGAACTGCCAGCCAGGAAAAGCAAAAAAAAGCTCCTTTGTCCCTAGTATGGATGTCCTGCTGTGCTTTAGGAGCCAGTCCAGAAGTGCATCAAGTCCTGAACATTTTGTCCCCAGCCTTGCTGCCACGTGTCCTTGTGTCCACAGTCATACAGCGTGTATGGTCTTGCTCAAATCTGCGCGCAGCCATGCAGATTTGGCTTCCCAAATCATGCCAGCGTGAAAGGTTTTTCGCTATGGATAAGTCTAATTGTCCCTGTGATTTTATCCCCCAGAACAAAAGCGCCTGGCAGCCAAACAGAGGGAAGATGCTTGGGAGGGAAGGTGATTGGGGAGACAGCTTCTCCGCATTGATTCGCTTGACTCCTTTCAGGCCACGCCTGGAGACTTGAAGTCCCAAGATTATCCAAGTGTGCAGCGTTACATCACTCAAGTTTGAAGACTCATCATGTTTTTTCTTTTTTTTTTTTTTTTTTATACATGTATGCAGGGGCGGATGCTAGCCTGAGGTTACCTTACCTCAACATTTGCCTGTACTCTTGATTTTTCAAAGGCCCATTAATTCACCGAAAGCTATTGGAAACAATGTGTCTCAAGCATCCACTGATGATTTTCTGTAAAATGAAATCTTTTGCCACATGCACATGCAATTTAGATGATCGGACATAATGTTATAATCTATTTACTATTGTAGTACAATTGTAAAGAAACAATTTTAAAAAGTGAAAGTTTTATTGTTTTTTTTAACTTAAGTTGCAATGAATGTATTTCAAAATATGTCAGATTTCTTGTGTGATAAGATGGTCGTCATCACTGTCAAATTCAGTGTATGCGTGTCATTGTCCATTCGCGTAAATACTCTACTCTGTATTTTCTCTAAGCTCGTCTGCTCTGTGGTTTGAATGCTGTATGGTATATTTTTAGTTTAAAATGAGAGAGTAATGGTAGTCATGTCATGTATATAATCTCTTGTATGAGGAACCTCCCATTGACTCTTGTGAGTCACTTGAGGTGAACGTTTTCTGACAGTCATGTGGAAATATACTGAAGGGAATAAGACCATGACTGATCTTTATTTCCTGAAAAATTGATCTGTGATTTAGTATCCGTTGAGTCTGGGCTGGTGTTTGTTCATGAAAATTAACCAATCTGAAGTCTAAGGTGTTTCACGAGGAAGTTAAAAAAAAAAAGACCTTCACCTACAACCACAGAAGCTTTTCAAATAACTCAACTCTTAAGCTGGATTCAGCAAAATAGAAGGAAGAGTTGCTTATGTGTTGCTTGTTTTCATCTTAAAAAAAAAAACACCTTCAAAAAAATTATTTTAGCTTTGCTAACATCTGTGATGCAAAATACAATAAGTAGTTGGTCAATTAAAACGTTAGCACTTTAAAGCTAAACATTTGAAAGGTGATCATGCACCTTCAAATAACATTTACTTGTCTGATCCATTCTGCTCTCTCGCAGACTGAATGTCACACTGTAGATGCCACATTGCTCAATGAACTTTGTGCACTGGATGCTGTTTCACATAAACTCAACACTTGCACATTCAATGTGGGTTTTCTCAGGACTCTGTTGTTCCCAAAGCGGAAGACAAAAACATTTTATGAAAGCTAAGTACAGTCTGCTGAATTGGCACAAAAAGATTTGATGCATGGCACCCTGCCACTTATTTCAGCTGATATAACTGTTTTGAAAGTCGTGGCCTGACTTGAGGAAAAAGAAATTATAATGCCCACATTCAAGTTACATGAACTGTTTTGAGTCCAGCATGTCAATGATGGTTTTGTAGAAGGACTCATTTTTCTGGAATGAGATTTGTTCAGTTGGTTTGGGTAAACACACCCACGCACGCACACACACACGCACGCACGCACACACACACACACACACACACACACACACACACACACACACACACACACACACACACACACACACACACACACACACACACACACACACACACAAAGCCTGCACAATACAGTCTAACTCATGATGCCAATGTTCAGTTATGATATGATAGTCTTGCCTACAAAAATCACCCAGAAACATGCATCCATACTGTATAAAGTCGGGTAAAACCTAATCTGAAATTGAAGACTTCCTGTCATATCTGTCATTATTCTAATCTTAGTAATTGTAAATTGTATGGAAATGTATTACTCATATGCCATTCTTCAATGTTTTCTTGTCTCCGGTGGTTCATTCTCTTTTTACTTGCTCGGTAGAATTAAAGCAAATATAGACCAATTCTGAAATTGTCCCAAAAATAAAGAGCTGTATATCTCTGTAGCCCTCCCTAAGCTCACTCCTGCAGCTGAATCATCATCGTATGTGACCCAAAAGCTGATTCTTTGCATACAGCCCTATAAAGCATCACTCAGGAAATGTCCAGCATGCCAGCTTAGTCCTCAGTGTATTGTAGACAATACTAACTTTGATATCATGGAGCACATGAGATACGGACCCAAAGGAAGCAAACAAACAAAAAAGTTTCTTTCAATTGAAAATCCTTGTGATGTGTTTGCAAACAGTCATGCTAACCTCCACTCAGTTGCAGTAACCAGTGGCTTGTTAAAACCCGACATGGTCTGAGCTGGTTGTCATTTCACTGAAATGACCCATGTGTCAGACTTACCATCATGGGAAATTTGCCACCGTGTTTTTACGATGTCTTTTTAACTGCCGAAGGCAAGATGGCGCCCACGTAGGCAGCCGTCGGCAAGTGCTCTTCAAGAGCCTTGCTTTTTTGTTGTTTTTTTGTGGTTTTTGTGTTTTGTTTTGTCATATTGTGTTTGTTGTTACGTCGTGTGGACCTGCTGTGGATTGTTTTCAGCATTTTTTTGGCCATGACATTCATCAAAGGAGAAGAATCTGTGCTTGGTAGTTGCGCCTTCTCGGCAGCACGCATGTAACAGCACTGATTTTGATTGGGAGGAATGTCGGCACCATCTGACTGTCGTTGCTGGACAGCCCCGGGGCACTTGTGTTTTTTGCGCCTGAAATGGGCAGCATTTTTCACAGCCCCGCTTTGTTCAGCGGGAATGTCGGTGCTGTTGGACAGTCTGCGGCTGGAATGATGGATGGCTGGTGGAGCCGTCGATGGGAAAAAAGGAGCGTCAGCGCAGAGCGCCGATGCATATGTGGAACTGCGAGTCGCGACTTGGAATTGAAGCGGATTTACATGGGACAGGAGATGTGAGCCAATCTCTTTTTCGTCAATGGACGCTCCAGCTTCTCGTTTGCTTTCAAACTTAGCTTGTAGCAGACGTGTGCACATTTTTAACATGACGTCTTTGACCCACTGGTGAAAGGACACTTTGATTCGCTCCTCTTTTATCGATAACTGCTTCAAACAACAAAGTGTATGCAGAAAAGTGGTTACGATTTCACGACTGTGTGTCTTATGTGTTCTGTTGTATTATTTGTCATTTTATGTTAACTGTTCTTTTGATGGCGGCGCGGGCACCCGCAGCGGCTCCTCTCTCTCCTGAGGAAAGAAATTTCATCTGTGCTGTATGTTGCACATGTAGAACATTTGACAATAAAGTTGACATGAACATGAACGTTGGTGGAGTTTGAGCACTGTGGCGGTCTGTTTGCCTTGTAACTTCAATACACCTTGAAGATCCATTTTAAAGGAAATATTTGACTGAGCAGATTCAGCTAGATCCTAACATTAATCTTTAATCTTTATTGTGCAAAATCTACAAGAAAAATAACCATTCCTTAAATAAGCATGTTTGTCATGGTGATGTTTATTCTTGCTCTACCATTTAAGTAATGTTTAAGGCGCACTACTGTGGTGCCTCCAGGTCTCATCTGGTGTTACCACTGTTAAACAGGTGAAGAACAAACAGGTAAATGATCTCTCATAATAAAATTAACAATACAAAACACAGCCACGCATGGACAATGCCAACTCAAAAGTACAATAAAATCTGCATAAATTAGAGCCCTAACATTGTTCCAGAGAGGTAATATAAAACTGTACATGACAATACATGTGCAATACATTACAATATTTATTCAAATAAGGCAAAATAGCACCATGGAGTGAAAAAAAAAATATTCTCATTCAAAACCCAAAAGCACACAGTTGTAACAGTAAAAAAAAAAATGCATTTGCAATTGGAAAGTGAATGCCATCAGTTAATGTGGTGCCTTAATGTCCTTCTGTACTGTTGTGATGATTTCGACTTTGGAATTTAATCATTTCAAATGGTTCGAAAAAGTGAAATAATCGACATTTTGGATGATGTGCGCTTTTCTTTTTTTTTTCGACTTGGCAACATTTCTCCTTTAATCATCTTGACTTGAACTGCCTCTGGTAGACAGTCACCAGGTTCCAAAAATTCATGATTCCCTTCGCAACTTGCCCTCGCCCTCTCATGTCTTCTTGTCGCTCAACCTCTCTGTCTTGTGTTGAGGTGTACTGAGGAATTGAATGGTTCTTCTGTCCCTGTACTGGAGTGAGCATCCATTCACAGGAAGTTGTTGGTGATCTGACGCTGGTGGTCAAACAAGTCCTCGACATCAGCGCTGTAAGCATCACCTGATGAAACACACAAAGCGGATTACACGGCGGGAAATGGAGCGAAAAATGCATGATGGCTTGGTTTCTCCAGGTGTCTCATCTCATTCCTGCCCATCCCTCCAATTTGTTATCCCTTCTCTTTTTATCCAATCATCTTTCAGTGTTCCCTCCTGTCACAAAGGACTCAAGACAGCCGGGATGATTTTTTCCCATCTCATGTCTTCAATCCTTGAATCCTATCTGAGCTCATCCCCTCCCATCCCATATGTCTCATTTCACTTTACCATCCAATATAATCATCTAATCTCAATCCCGTCTCATCCTGACTCTAATTTCATCCTCAAGGTCATTTCATTTCATCCCCAATCTCATCTCATTTGATCCTTAATCTCATCTCATCCTCAATTTCAGATCATCCCTTCCTCAATCACATCTCATTTGATCCTTAATCTCATCCCTTTTTTAATCATGCCTCATCCTCAAACTAGTATTTGCTCATCTCATCCCACTTTAATCCAGATTTTGCCTCATCCGATGTTACCCTCCAATACATAATCTAATCTCAATCTCATTTTTATTTCACTTTATCCTCAATCTTATTTCATTTCAGCATCATCTATCTCTTCTCATTTGATCCTCAATGTCGTCTCATCCTGAATCTCATCTCAGCCCCTATCTCATTTTATTTGATCCTCAATATCATGTCATTCTTAATATCATCCAATCCTCAATCTCATTTCATCCCATTTGATCTCCTACCTGTACTATATCTCCCATTCCATTTTTTATCTCATTTCACCTCATCAGCCATCTCATCCCACACCCTTGCCCCCTCCAATCCAATCTGGTCCCACCCCAGGCCCCTCATCTCATGTCTTTAAACTCTACCTGCATGGCATCCGAACATGTAAACACGCGCTCCATCGTATTTACACCGACAGCGGATCACATTGTTCTTGAAATCAGATTCAGCCATATCCAAAGAAGGGTTGACCTCCACCTGTGAAAGGAGGGACACGTGTTTGATCACACGGATGGATGTAACACATTTACATTCATACAAACATGGAACCCGAATGAGTGTAATGCTTATTTTTCAAAGATCTACAGCCAAATTCCCATGAGAATGCATCCAGGAATATTTGTAGACGTACGGCGGGCGTGTCCCTTAATCTCAGCCTTTTGCCAATGGCTTGATTGCACTCTATTTAGTATAATTATATTCCTAGTCCAGCCCTATAAAGCTGACGCAGATTTTTTTTTTCCCCCCTGCAGCAGTGGGGCCCTAAATTACCTTTCTGTTGAGACTAAACCCAAGGATCTTTTTAATCATGTAACAAAACAAACAAGAACTTGTGACAGTTAGGAAACAGGCGACTTTCCGTGGGGGCGATTGAGGAGCCGCATAATTCTTCTTCCCTCTTTTTCTAAATAGCCCAAATTGGGGGTTGAAGAGATGAATATCATCACTTTCCGGTGTTATCTCTGTGCAGGATACAAAAACAGCCGAGGGATGCGGATGACAAGTTTTGGTTAAGATTGAAGTTGCAGCCTGTCATTAGACTGTAGCCACGCTTGGTTGCCACGACTTGATTTTTTTTCCACTCTGTCTGTGCTTCCCGCTGCTATATGAGCAAACGCACGCTGTAAATTAATGTTCCTCATGCACACATCAAACAGATAATTTGACCACACACTGTCATATTATAAAAACTTGACTTTGAATGTTCTGAGGTTGATGGATATATAACCCACATACATAAACTACTTAAACTATTCATAAGTATCATTCTTTTGATTTGGTTTACAGACAAAATTAGCCATCTATGGTTTTTGAGCACACTTTTTTTTTAATAGTTCTATAAAGTTTGTAAAAAGTCAAAAGAGATGATTTAAGATGTCGGTAGAGGTTGTCACTGCATGTGTCGACTGCAGAGACTGGATGTTAATTGCAATAAGGGGCAATCAAGTTGGATCAACGTGACTCATTGCTACAAAAAAAAAAGGCCCTAAAAATGTCTGCTATTCTTGGTAAAGGCCACACCCAGCTGGTGGAAGAAACCTGAGCAAGCATCTGTGATCGCCCTCCCTTCAGCTCTCACTCCTTATGAAATCGGTGGACAGTTGCCGAGTCACGTAGCCACAAATCTCGACTTTTACGCCTGCACGTGGTTTGATATCCGGTCCTGGCCTCGTTGCCTCACGTGTGTTTTGCGGAAGAGCGCATTGCACGTCTGATGAAAGTATCTCTGATAATGCAAACACTGAGAAACCATGAGCATCATCTATGTGGTGCCACTTAGCTTGCAGTCCAAAATAGAACAAATGACAGAGCGGGAGAACAGATGAGTAGGTCAGCACAGTCGATTGGACGTTTAGGGAACAGACAAGACCAACCAACTTCAACATGAAAAAAAAAAAAAATACTGTGAAGTGCTGAGAGGTTGTCCGCTGGCCAAGAAGCTCCACTCTCTCACTAATAGCAGGTCTGCTTTCTATATAAAGCCACATTAAATGCACTCGCCTTAAATGCACACACACCCTGAAACAACATGCACATGGCGTACCTGAATGGCTGAATGCTTAGCCAAGAGCCACTTTGCTACAATTATAGTTGGTTATCGCTTTTATCCCACACGGGCTTGCAGATTTTTAACTTCTGCCTTTTCCCTTTCTTCAGCACACTTACATGCAATTTGGCATTCAGTTTGGGCGCATTTGCCAGATGGCTGAAAGCAACCCATCTATTTTCTATACCGTTTATACTGTTCAAGTTTGCAGGGAAGCTGCCTTGTGTCCCAGCTGGATACGTTGATGACCATTCCAGGAAAGGACAAACGCATGTACTGTAACAGACAATTAATTACTCACTCACAATGACACATCGAGTCCTTACATAACCCGAAGACAGTGAGCTCCCAATGGGTAATGGGTTACACGTTCCAGATCCACCTGCAGTACAGAAAATCTACCATATCAAGAGTCCATAACTTTTTAAAAAATATATTATTTTATTATTATGGTTTTACTTACTTGCATCACAGTTCTAATTATTTTTTTAAATGTTGTTTTGACGTTTGTTTTAGTTTGTATTCGTTTCGGTATTAGCTTTAGTTTATTATTTGACACAAATGGAGCATTTGTGGAGTGCAAGATTAAAAAAAAAAAAATATCACTAAGTATTATAATAATATATAAATTACAATTCCCAAACACCTGTTTGTCCTTCTTTCTTCTGTTCGACCATACAGTAATACTTAAGTCAATAAATTCAAAATAAATCCTGGAAGCTCATTTCTGAAATGAATTCACAAAGATAAAAACAAAGGACATTTTCACTTAAATTATCGTTATCCATCCATCCAACCTTTTTCTGATCCGCTTCGTCCTCACAAGGGTCGCGGGGTGTGCTGGTGCCTATCCCAACTGTCTTGGGGCAGTTGGCGGGGGACACCCTGAACCGGCTGCCAGCCACTCTCAGGGCTCACATAGACGAATAACCATTCACACTCACAATCACACCTAGGGACAATTTAGAGCAGGGGTGTAAAACTCATTTTTGTCGCGGGCCATTTTGGAGTTACATCTTCTCTCGGAGGGCCGTTAAGACCGTGAAACTGAATAAATGTTTAATCATCACATCGTAATATTACTTGTACACAATAAAATGATGGCTCACTCGAGTTGAAATCAGTTCAATTATTGCTCAGTGTAACAAAATTATTGCAAAATGTCACCGCTATTTATTATGTATGACAATTTGAGATTTCGGTCCGGATTTAAGCAACGATCATGTGATTTAGAGTGTTGCTTTAACCTGCCATGCATGTTTCTGGAATGTGGGAGGAAACCTGAGTACCCGGATAAAACCCACACAGGCACTGTAAGAACATGCAAACTCCACACAGGAAGGCCGCAGCTGGAATCGAACCCTGTGAGGCCAACGCGCTAACTGGTCCGCCCAAATTATGGTTAGTTTTAGTTAATTTTATAAAAATAAACATTTGTTTCAGTTATTTATTTTAAAAGCACTCATTTTTATTTTATTTTGTGAAAGAACTTTTTTTTTCCAATATTATCTTGAGTTTCATTAGTTTTCATTGACTATAATAACCTTACTTTGCACGCCCCCTTTTAACACATTTTAAATTAAGACACACTTTAAATGTCCATTTTAAACAGATCGGAACACAAAAAGAAAAAAAATCAAGAATAAACTAGAAAAAAAATACATATTGTTGTGTCTATGTACAAAGTGCATGCATGTGTCTTTTAGAGGTGGGGTTTGGTCAGCTTGCATGTGACATCAACGAGCATGAGTGTCTAGTTGTGAGCTGTGGCCAACATCATCTCCTGCTGTGAATGTGCTCATTGTGTTTGGGTTTATTATTCTCCTGGTGTTCAATAAATAGCAGCGAAGAAAATTACATGGACTCTGAGAGCATGTAGTGAGACTTTCCTGGAATTTTTTTTTTTTTTCTTCATAGAAAAAGCATCCTCACCTGGAAGACATATTCACCAGGTCGCACGTCCGTGATGTCGATCCACTGGCAGTCAATGTCATGGCGGTAAGTATCCCAGCAGCCAATTGAGATGCCTTGTTGTCCCATGTTGTAGCAGGAATAGCGCTTCTGGAGACCTGAGATCCAAAAGGGTTTCATGAAGATTTATAGTGTGGATGTGCCTCTGCAGGCAAAGTGGTTGGATAGTTTTGATGTGAAGAATTTTGAAATGATGGAACAAATGTATTTTTCTTTGAAATTTGAATTTGAAATTGATTGTCTGACCATCGGGGCAGTAGGTGTCCTCCAAGCAAAAACTGGCTTTGTGACCCTCAGCCACTCTGGTTCCATTGAGGGTCAGCAAATCGTAGTGTGTAAACACCTCGATGCTGTGGTAGTGCCTGAATAATGGGAGAGGGCGATAATTTCAGTCATGAAGAGAGCTACAATCACAGGGATCCTGACGGGATTCTGTAATTCACTTGAATTTTCTTTGATTGACTTTCTTGATTTATTCAGAATGGGTGAATGGTCAACGTTTTTTCTGCATGAAAAATGCACCGCTCCAGAACTGTATTGAATGTTTTTTCTCAAAGATTATGGACAAAAGTGAGGCTGACATCCAATTGCTTCTTTGTGTTTAATCAGCTTTGATGGCCTGCTTCACATTCGCCTGCATCTGGGAAATTTCGATTCTAAGCTTTCATTATAATTCGTGTAAAGGTACACAATTCACTTCTTTGTTATGCTTTTCTTTTGTCTGAAGCAAAAACATCATTTCTCAACAGGAATTTCAAATTCTAAACAGAGTAAGAAGAAATCCTGTTGTGCAGTTATAAAGGCGTCTCACAGTGGGTTGTTTATCTGTTTGGTGTCGCTCTGTCTCTCGTTATAGAACCATTCCCGCAAGAGGCACAAGCAAAAATGGGAAACCAAACCAATGTGCTGGCTGCTTGGGGAGGTAGTGATTGAGGCTGGAACAAACCCTCAGCTCTGCCTCTTTTGTTTTAGGATATGAAACCTCAGCAGCTGAGTAAAGAAATCAAGTTGCTCTGAGGTCAATCTTAGCGCTGATATCAACGATCGGGGGGGAAAGTGCGTCTTTATACCTTTTTGGGGTACAATGCATTTTCACAGGGGCGGCATCCTCAAAGGTTCTGATTTTGTACAGTCGATGCTGGACTTTTACAGTTTGGGCGCATATCCATGCAGTCCGATGTTGTTCGGAAGGACTGAAATGGACTCTTTTTTGAGATCATGAAAGAGAGCGTACCTGTGACACTGATGCCAAATCCAATTCTCCCTGGAGGCTCGCGGTTGGAAATCAGCGCGGCCATTGTTCAAGATACGGGAGGAAAACCTCAGCAGTCGGCGATGTCCGTAAGGCCAGTTCATCCTGGCAGCAGACGAGGAGAGGCAGTTCTCCTCATTGGCACAGCTGAGCAGGTGAAGAGGCCTGTCCTCCAGGTAAGATGACTCCTGGAGCAGCTGGGCATCCACGACCAGGTCAGGAGCACCTGTGAGGGTACACACAAGGAGGGGAGTTCCAAGTCTTTGCACAACAAGTATTCAAAAACAAACCAAAGCGTCAGTTTTTCGCTCACTCTCCACGCAGGTGACTCCAGCGGCTCTGCCCTCGCCACCTCTGGGACAGTAGACGTGTGCGTTCTTGCGACACTGCTGGATGGACAGCTCAGAGCCCACGCAGTGACTTCCACTGAGAAGGACATCGCGTGCATCACTGGAGCCCGCCCAGTACCAAGTCTCCTGGACGCACATGGAAGGGGAACGTTTTTGCCCTGTTGAATGCTTAAAACCCCAAGAAAGGAGGCTCTCCTCCTTTTCGCTTTCAGACCTCAAAAGCCCTCTTTTTAATAGAATCTATCAGTAAATAGGATCACACTCTTTTTTTATATCCGCCTTTTAAATGCCCCAGCACAACCACTCTGCTTTTTCCATGCCCGGCCCTATTTTCATCTTGTTTTCCCTGAGAATTTCTGCCGATTTCTCTTTGCCTTACTTTCCATCTTTTATTTTCAGAGTGCCTGAAGTGGACCTTCGAAAAGCCTATAATTACCTCAGGCCTCGGTAATAACACAGCGCAGACACACAAACAGCAGCCCAGAGGGAAGGCAAATGAGGCAGTACAAAGGATCAACGCCAAGTAAAGGAGTGACACGAAGGGCAGAAGACGAGAGGATGCGTATTGATCGCTCCGATCACCTGGTGAGCTCTGGAGGCGAAACCCAAGCCAAGCTGTCGGCACACCACCATGGCCTCGTTGATGCCCCAGTTCTCGCTGCAGACCGAGCCCCAGCGCTTCACTCCTCCGACCTCTATCAACACCTCCACGCGACCCTCCGATTTGTCTCTGCCTCCAGCAAGCCTCACCTGGAGGCAAAGAGTGTGTTTTGTATCATTGAACACCGCCACAGATTGGCATGTGGACCTCATGGATGTGTATGTGTGTGTGTGTGTGTGTCTCACTGTGGTCTGCGTGCCAGTGTTGGGGACGTTGCAACGGACCGCCACGTCCTGCTTGTGCTTGATGGTGTACAGGGGGACATCTTTGGATGGACATTCTGTTAGGGACGTCTCCCTGCCTGTGCACTGGACACTGTTCATGTGGATGGGACCGGAACCTAGAGTGGCAAATTACGGGAATGGTCAGCAGTGGAGAATCTTTGATGAAGAAAAAAAAAAAAAAAAAAAAGCTGCAATTTATGGAAATTTCCACTGGGAATGTGAATAACTTACTACACTGGAATGCCTGATTGCTGCATTCAACAAATTATTCAAGAAGTGTACTGTTGTTTTCGAAAACACTATAAATCCATTTAGTTCATTCGGAAAATGACAACATTTAGTCAGAGCTGCAAACAGTTGAACAATTTTTTTTTTTACATTAAAACAATTGAGTTGGTCGGAGCAGGAAAAGATAACAGTGCCCGTGTATGCGACGGAGTCTCAATGTAAGATAGCCAACCAGAGCGGAATCAAGTCAAAAACATCCTCGCTGTACAGATGCGTTTTGCGATTCACGCTCAGTTGTCTGATGTGCCTCATGCAGCTGTCATGTGAAAGAGAGAGAGAATTGCTGTCCGAATTACTACACACTTCCAGCCAAAAATCTTTGAACTTGCTGAAGTCTACGAAGGTGTATGAGGCCAAAGTTTTATTAAGCGCTATATTTTTTCCCCTCAAATAGCCACTGATGTCACCGAGCCTTTAGTCTCAAAGTGCACCACCCACGAGCCCTCCCAGAACTCCAGCGGGGCCCAGACCACTCTCCTGTGTTTGTGCAACATGGCGAAATAGGCCTGAACTTTGTCAAGAAACAGTTCAACCCACAACACTCACTGCAACAGCACCTACTTTAACAACCCTAAAAGGTTTCCATGAATTACTTCATTTGGGGCAAGTGGAGTGACGGAAATGCAGCCACCCTTGTGGATCACGCTGCTGGATGTTGTCATTTGGGCGGAAAGATAATGGCGGGAAATTAACTTAATTGCAGCAGAAGTACGGCGCCAAAAAAAAAAAACGGACGGCAACTTGTCAAAGTGACGTTTGGAAAACATTTGACATTGCTTTTGTGAGACAACTGCATGGGAGCGTTTCCAGGACCACAACGGAAGCAGTACCGAGAGAACGTGTGTGTGTCATGCATGTGCCATCAAACAACGGGCAACCATCAGCTTCTCACATGGTAGTAGCAATACAGCTGGAATATTTTTGTAGTTCTTCGTAGTTTTTTGGAATTGGGCATCGAGCCATTTAGAAGCACACATTTAGCGTCAGTGCTGTTTAGTCTGACCCCGTCATGGGGAATTTAGTCAGATGTCATACAATAAATAATGAATTGTAATTAGTCAAAAAACAACATATTTTCTCTTGAAATTAATGAATGAAAATAATATGCCCTAACCACAATCACTTGTAAGTTATGGGCAAATACGTTATGAACAGCAGCTTGCTTATCAAAGGGGCATTTGCCAATAACTTAAGCAAGGTTGTGTCGAGTTTTCTTGGTTTTAGAAAGAAAGTCTCAAAGAACACGGATTAGCAGTGCGGCATCAAAGCAGGAATATTCTTGAATCTAGGCTTTGCTTAGTTCTCTCCTCCCACAGTCCCAAAACATGCTTGCTGGGTTTAGTCAAGCCTCTAATTTGCCCATTTAAGGTGTGAATGTGAGCGAGAATCGTGATCGTAATCAACTGGGAACAGACCTCGGTTTCGTTGTAATATCGATGTAGAGAGCACAAGACCAAGTGCTATGTCCTTTTGGAAGAAGTCGCTTCCACACAAAAGTGTTCCACGGTGTATATGTTCATTTATGCACGTTCGTCTCATCTCACCCTCTCCCAGCTGAGCATTTGTCAGGGCCTCCTTGGCCGTTCCGAATCCGAGCTCTCTGCAGACAATGTTTGCGTCGGTGATGTCCCACAGGTGGTCTGCCACGGTGCCCCACTTGCCCTCTTTCAGAACCTCCACGCGACCCTCCCCAAGGCGGGGCCCCGCCTTCAGACGCACGTTGCTCTGGTAGGAAAAAGAGAATAAGTCAACATTTGCTCTTTTCAAGCATGCTTTTTATTTTAGAATGTTGAGTTTTCCATTTCCGTGTTCATTCTTCAGTGCACTTATTTTTTCGACAGTATGTTTGTTTGCACTTTCTCTCTAAAACCTCTTTGAGGTTTTACCCAAAGCTCAACTCAAGACAAAAAAAATATATATATTTTTACTTAACAGGGGAGCACTTGAGCTAGGATGTTATAATTTTCAAATGCAAACTGTAGATGTCCGAGATTAGGAACTGCATCGCATCGAGAGGTTTAATACTTCGACACTTTGCCAATTGCTAATGTAATTAATAAAGTTATTAGAAAATATCAATGGAAAACTGTTGTATGGCATTGGCTCGCAAGAGATGTTTTTGCAAGTGTACCTTATATAGTCTATATAGTTCCATCAATGATAATAATGTCTCCCTTTGTAATTATGAATTTTGAAGTCCGAACTGACCGACACGGTGTGTGTTGTATGTCTTCGGCCGTTGCGCACAAACTGCGGTCCAGGGACACAGCGGACGACAGCGTGCATTCCCCCTGCGCATGGACTATCCCTCCTGCGGAGGGACACCTGGGCCTGGCACTGGGACAAGGAGACCTCCATTCCCTGACACTGCACCCTCTCCACCCAGTAGGCCTTCTTGGTGATCTGAGTCTTCAATCTGACAAGGAATGTTGGACGTAAAATGCCGGCATGTGTAAATGCTCTGTTTGTTTAACAACTGAGTTTACCTGGATGATGGATCTGCTAGTTTGGAGTCCCACAGTTTCCTGAAAGACAACAAGTGTGAGTAAATGCATTGGAATAAAACTTTAAAAACATACTCCAAAGTGAGCAACAACAACTTCTACTGCCACTCAATTTGTTATTGTCTCCTAGAATAGTCTGCTAAGTATAGACAGAATAGAAAACACACACACACACACACACACACACACACACACACACACACACACACACACACACACACACACACACACACACACACGAGGTCTGAGTTCCTTGCTGTATTTCACGCTACTACTGTCAATCACCCTTGTTTCATTCGATACAAACACACTTTTGGATTCATCTGTATTTGTGGATAAACTAAAATATTTTTTCCCTCTAAATGTTTCCTGTCATGCATTTTTGGTTTGGTCATACATGGTACTTATGTCTATAGCGGGACGTCTGGGACATCTGTGTGGGATATAAAAATGTGCGCCTTACTAAGAGGCTACATCAATCTTGGAGTCAGGAAAAAAAAGTACTGTACATCATGAGCCACTACTTGTACACGAGCACTCACTAACCAATATTTCTGACATTCATCGATTTTTTTAGCTCATATTTTGGAAGGCTAGGCCCAAAGTGTGTGTGCGCCGACATGCTCGGCCAGCTAAAACTGTCAAGTGTTAAAAAAGAGAACACTGTCTGAAGATATATAAAGTTTCACGAGCCAGCGAGGGCCTGGAAAATGTCATTTTGTCACACACACTCACACCAAAGCTGACCACTTACATCAACCAGTGTAACCACAAAGCAGGTGCAGCCTCACGGACACCCTTTGTGAATTCAGTGAGTCAGAACACCCAGGACTGACACAAGTGTATACTTCAGAGGGCCAGTTGGTTACCTGCGCCACCAGACCAGTGATGCAAACGTAAATATTGGGCAAACTAAAGTAGGAGATGCTCGTGACTGTTACTAAATCAGATGCAGACAAACTCTTTTGATGCTACAGTCATATGGCTCTGACACCTTGAGACCTCTACGGTAAAGTAGTTACAGTACTGTGAAAAAGATGGGATGTTTCAGCAATGCCCTATCGAGCAATCAAGCATATACAACCATGGGGGGAACTGGAGATTGCATTTTTACTCTCATGACTCGAATAGTGATAATAAACTCCTGTAGCCAGGTCCCCACCAAACGGGACACTGCTTAGCCCATGTACCATACATCTACAAGTCCTTTATGTTAATGCTATATTATTCTTTATGCTAACTACCATTGTTACATGCTACTTACAAATACTACTTTTTGTGGCGTCAGCCCATCCGGGCTCTTGAAGACCTTTCGTAACCTGGCGATTAAGCAATAATTGAGACAGTAAGGGGGGTGTTAGTTCACAGGGTTGGTTGGGAGGAGGAGATGAGAGTCACCCGTATAATTGCCTGCTGTGCTTGGCAGTGTCTGCTGTGCGGTCGATTCGAGCAGTAGCATGTTGGTTCACACGCACCAGACGTGGAAGTATGCACGTACATATCAACTTTCCCTCTGTCGCCGCCTCTTTAAAAAGCCTTTACAGCTCAAAGCGACATGGTTAAACCCAGCGTCATGACTGCATGCCTGGAAACAAGAGGCTGGTGATGTAAGACTCTCTCAGACCTTTTAATAGGATATGCCCGAATTCAGAAAAATCACACTATTTTGGCTTCAAGTCGAGATCTATTCCATGTGTCCGTCTTTCTCAGGTAGGAAATTTGAAGGAAAGCAAAGGAACGACACCATCAGCAGTTTCGTGTCTCTTAGTTCGTATCTTGCAGAAGACTGGCTGCAGTATTCCTTTATGCAACCCTGACCACACAATTCCAAAAGGAAGATTGGAAAGAGCAGCTCGGTGTCAAAAGAGAAGAAATGACCTGTTATTATATTGTGCTAGCATGAAGATGCCAGAAAGGAACAATTGGCTGTGTCAAGCGGTGGCAGGTCTGACTGACTCCAATGCACGAGAGACGGAGAAAACTCACAAATGTATTCTTGATCAGGCCCTTTCAACAGACTGTTACACTTTGCAATAAATCACATAAAAAGGGGAAGACAAGATGAGAGAGAGGAGTCAAAAGGATCATGGCTGTGATGAAAGGAAGTGTGGAATTGACCGGCATCCCATTTATGTAAGCGTTGCAAGATTGGGGGCGGAGCAAATTAAGAAAAAACAAAACAAAAAAAAAAACCAACAACAAGACCGAATTTGGCCAGCCAGGTTGATCATTTATTTTCTGGATTAAAGGGGCTCTTAGATTGTAATTAAAGCTCTTAAATGGACATGTATTGAAAGTCTCACACAAGACAAAGTAGTGTTGTCCACTGACACACTCTTGTTTGAAAGTGCCATGAAAGGTTACAGTCATGAGTTCTTCTTTTCCTTTCGGCTTTTCCCTTCAGGGGTCGCCACAGCGAATCAATTGCCTTCATCCAACCCTGTTTTGTACATCCTCTTCTCTCATGCATCCTCTTCTCTCAAGAGTGTCCAAAGTCAAATATACTTTGTAATACGTCTGCTATCCAGTGAGTCAAAAGCCCTCAAAAATTCGGACTGTCAAAGGGATCATTGTCACTGGGTCGGTGAAGCACATCAAAGTTTAAAGCCTCAAACAAATATTGATCTCAAATAACTTGACCAAAAGCCATCACAAGACTCATTTGTGTTCTTTGGTCCAAAACAAAGTTAGCTTTGCAAGAAGGTCTTACTTGAGCCATTTTCCTCCCGGGCAACCCGACAGCCTGCAACAGCACGCATACTGGTGAATGCCACGTTCCCCTCAAAGTATCTCGCGGGGTATTTACGAGCTCAGTCACCAGCCAGAATGAGACAACTAACAATCGAACAGAAGGATTGACTCCTGTATTTACTTCTCACCGTGTGGCTGTCGGATTCGAGAAGATGGAAGGCGGCAAGAAAATGAACCATTGCAGCAAAAGCGGAGACTAGGGAGTTAAATATTGCAGTGTCCAAAGAAATGAGCGGAGATAACATTCTTAGTCTATTTTGGGGCATAGTATCCTGAATGGTAGGTGAATAATATCAAATGTGCCAGGCAAACAGTAGTACTTAAAGTCACCCATACAGTCTGGAAAGCAGACTGGGAACCTGCTTGTCCCTGCTTTTGCCAATGCAAAACAGCATGTCGACAGGAGCTGTGACGAGCCGAGTTGGCAACGTGCAGCCAGTGGTGTGACGGCAAGGCAAGCCACGCCTCCTCTGCTGGTCGAAACACTATCAGAAGTTCTGTGCTACGTTTATTTTACACCCAACATTCCAGGATTTGTTCCACGAAATTGTATTCATTCATTCCAAACGGGGCGGCACGGTGAACGACTGTTTAGCACGTTTGCCTCACAGTGCAGAGGTGCAGGGTTCGATTCCGGCTCCGGCCTTCCTGTGTGGCGTTTGCATGTTCTCCCTGTGCCTGTGTGGTTTTTCTCCGGGTACTCCGGTTTCTTCCCACAGACCAAAAACATGCATGGCAAGTTAATGGACCACTCCAAATTGTCCTCAGGTGTGATTGTGAGTGCGAATGGTTGTTTGTCTATGTGTGCCCTGTGATTGGCTGGGAACCAGTTAAGGGTGTCCCCCTCCAACTACCCGAAGACAGCTGGGATAGGCCCCAGCACGACGGCCGCGACCCTCGGATTAGAAAATCGATGGATGAATGAATTCCCTACAAACAATTATCCACAATTTTTAGGGTTTCCCGTGGCTTCACTGCTTCCAGTCCAGATGGAATGTGGTTGTTATGTTTCTCTGGTATGTCTGACGTATTTCATTTAAATCTTTTCTGCTTTTGTCACATTCAGATCAATATTGATCCTGAAATGATTCCAATGATGTGCGGTCACATTTCGCATTTTTTTTGTGTGATGATAGTGGTGCTATTAATATTCAGTTGATGACATGTTGATCTGTATTACGAGAAGGCATGAGAATGAAGAAGACCATTTCGAAAAGCGCAGAGAACACTTTGGGAAACATCGTCATTACGATGGCTCAGCTGTTGAAGCCGTTCTTTGAGATCCATCCCTGTTTTTTGTTTCCTGCCGCTTATGATGGCGTTAATTAAAGCGTGAGATGTTCATTGGTAGTTGTTGCAATTGGTGTTAGACAAGACTCCAGTGTGTGTCCAATTGGCTAGCTGCTGAACAGGACCAGGACAAGGGGTAATTATTGGCGACAGATGGCACAGTGCAGACCAGCGGTCAGTCTAGTTATGCTGCTAGCCAGGCTCGAAAAAGACCTCTGTGGGCAGCCACACAGAGGGTTGTTTGCATGCGCACGTTGGCACGTTTATTTGTGTGCATACATGGATTTGGTTTTTGTAAAGTGTTGTAAGATGCTTTTCTCTGGAGAGGGGAAGGCAACGCATTAGTATTTGTGTGTTGGGGTTTGCGTGAGGGAGGCTAAAAGGGGCTCCACTTGGAAAAGTTGCATTCATGGGGACTAAGTTCGCATATGGACCAGACAGTGTTTGCAAATCAGAGCTTTTTGTTTCCTGTTTGTCAATACTTAAAGCTAAATGTGTCTCAACCTTTTCATGTAGTTTGTAGGCCACCACGGCTTTTCTGGTAGTTAGTTACGAATGCAATTTAAAAACACAACAAATCAAATGATTCCAACTATGCCCTGTGATCCTTTTAGAATTCGCTCATTAATTTTAATAGCAATATTTTTATTGTAGGGCATTACAAGATTTCTTTTTTACTTTCAAAAAATAAACATCACTACATGCATCTTTATAATAAATTTGCATTGGTGCAGCACTGTTTAAAGCATACTCTCCTTATGCTTACGTGGGTAGCGTGGCATCCTGCCATGTTTCACAAACATGCACGTTCGGTTCAGTGAAAATTATAAATTGTCCATACGTATAAATGTGAGTGTATACAGTATAGTTGGTTGCTTGTCTGAACCCTTCAATGTGGCAGCTAGTTTAGTGTCTACCAGTCAGCTGGGATAAGCTACAGCTCACCTGTGACCCTAATGACAAGCGCTACACAAAATGGATGGAATATATCATCAGTATATACAGTATATCAATTTAGTTTGAATTGTCCTTGTTTTCAAAATACCTTTCTTTCCTGATGAAATTACTCATACTTGATTTTGAGAAATCACATGGCCTTGTGGTAGACCTTTTGTCTTAAATATAAGTCCAATATGGTATAGTATCTGCATTTCCCCTCCTACAGGTTACAGCTCCTATTGAGGGCTGGTAGGAGTTTTAGCGCTTAACAAGTTACGAGTTTCTTGATTAAATGAGTTAATAAACTTGTTGTAAGATACACATCATGAGAATGACTTTTTAAAATTCTGGGTCAGACATTAATAACACACTCCCTTGGACTCTTATCAAGGCGCGCATTGAGGCCCAGTCAGTCAATGGGCCAGACAGTCTGGTGGACAGTTGGCTTTGGTTAATGCCGCAGTGCACGAGTCATGCCAAGTGTGGTCGTGCTAACGGTAGCAGTTGTGGTTATCATCCCGGAGAAGGATGGAACGGCGATTCAGGAATGGGAGCAAGTCCGCAAAAGGAAGTGTCTACGACCACACTTTTCCATCCTTTTCATAGCCTGTGTCCGTGCACTTGCCTGCTTTCTCGCGCACACACACACACGCGCGCACACACGCGCGCACACACACACACACACACACACACACACACACACACACACACACACACACACACACACACACACACTCTGAGTCACTCACCTGTAGGCGTTTTGATCAAACGTCTCGGCAGAAGGGAATCCCAACATGCCGCAGACGACACGGCTGCTGCTGAGGTCCCAGCCGTGACTGCACACATGACGCCATTTCCCAGAGTGCTTCACTTCCAGCACTCCCTCTGTCACCAGACCACCACGGCTGCCGGATAGCACGGGCCGTAGACGGGCTTCGGTCAGCTGAATGCTTTCAGCACTCTGGAAACATGAAAAGTATGAGTTAGGCTCGATTTTGTTTGTATCATTATTATTTATCATTATTATTATTATTTTTATCCTCAACAATTTTTTTGTAATTAGAAAGGGCTTTTGTCTTGGAGATTATTACGCATCCTATTACTAATTAAATACAAACGATGACCACATTATTTGAAGTCTGAATGATTTCACACTTGTCTGTAATAAGAGGCTAATTGGCCACAGTTGCATGCGTTTATCAGAACACACATGAACTTAAAGTGGATTACTTTGGTGTGCTCTCGGAGTTGCTTGATTCTAAACTGTCTGAAATAAGCGTATAGTAGTAATGGTTCTCATGGGTAGAATTAATTAGTAATGTGTCCTAAAAACAGTACTGTACCTTCAACCTACAGAGGCCACTGCACCCTAAATGTATAATTTTTAAGAGAAGATATGGATATGCAGAATGTACATTTTTACCTGGATGTACTGTGTGTCCGTCTCCAGTCCCACATCTGGATAAACAGGCTCTGGTTCGATATGGTTCCCACTGTATGGCTGATTCCTCTCGGACTGGGGCGGGGAATTAGTCTGCCTATTTGACTGTCTCTCGGACTGGCGCCTCGACGCAGGTGGTTCTCTTCTTGGTGTCTCCTCCTGCCTTTGGGTGGTGCTGGCTGCTGGCTGCGATGATACCTGCTGCCCCTGTTGATGTGTTGGCCCTCTATACCTTCGTGGGATCTGTATCTCGTGGCCGTTCTCCTGCGGTGAGATCCTATTGCGACGTGAAGATGGCGGGTTACGGTGGAGGGCGATCTCATGGCCTCGACTCTGAGAAGTTGAGACCGACGATGGAGCTGGCTGCTGCGGGGTTCTCATTCTTGGTTGTCTCTGCTCTTGTCTGGATGAGGAAGGGGCCTCCCCTCCTGGGGCACCTTGGATTCTTTCTGGGCTACAAATGATGCCCAGGTCCTCAGCATGGGTGCAGTCATGGACTCCCCAGCCATTGGAGCCGCATTCTGCAATGGAGCTCTCATGGCCTCTGCAGTTCACATTGTCCAACCAGATCTGACCTGGACGACAGAGTGTGGGGAGAAAGTTACTCACCAACTCTTATGGAAATATATCTCGATACGGGGCGGGACATACCTTGTCCCTGACCAAACTTGCTACTGTGCGCCCAGGTAAAACTGCGCTGAAAGCCTAGCTGTTTGCACACCACATTTGCCAGGTTCAGATCCACCTGGTCGTCACACACTGTGCCCCACACGCCATTGTAGAACACCTCCAGACGCCCTTCGTTGGCATTGCGTTGGCCTGTACCTGCAAGCCGCACCTTCACCTCTTGTGCAGGCAGCTCAGAGGGATAGAGAAGAAGAAGCAGGAAGGTAGTGGATAAGGAGCTGAGGAACAGCATCCTGAGGGAGGGAGTGGTGGTTATGAAAGAGAAGCGGTGTTACATTAGGTGACGACTTGGGCAATGTGAAGGAGCGACTTCACAATAACAGACACCGTAAAATTCCTTTAAATCATGCAAAGCCCTATCGACATTCCTTCCTTTGACAGAACATATAATTAGAAATTACTCCTCTTTCCCTTATGTGGCACTCAAGAGAATTTATAGGTGTTTTTATTTTGAATGTTTATTGATTCTCAAAGTGAACCCAGCCGCTGGGGAGCAGTGCCCTCCCCTGGGGGTACACTGTTCCCCGGTGCCGGTCCCAAGCCCGGAGAAATGGGGAGGGTTGCGTCAGGAAGGGCATCCGGCGTAAAACTTTTGCCAAGACGGACATGCGAGTTGATAGGGCCGGATGCAGGGACGGATGGGAATTAATGACTCGCTGTGGCGACCCCTGAAAAGGGACGTGCCGAAAGGAGAAGAAGAAGATTGATTCTCAAAGTGAACCCAGCCGCTGGGGAGCAGTGCCCTCCCCTGGGGGTACACTGTTCCCCGGTGCCGGTCCCAAGCCCGGAGAAATGGGGAGGGTTGCGTCAGGAAGGGCATCCGGCGTAAAACTTTTGCCAAGACGGACATGCGAGTTGATAGGGCGGTTTGCAGGGACGGATGGGAATTAATGACTCGCTGTGGCGACCCCTGAAAAGGGACGTGCCGAAAGGAGAAGAAGAAGATTGATTCTCAAAGTGATCTGAAGACAGTGATGAGGTTTAAATTGGTTCCAAAACATTTTTAACCAATTAGAGTAAGAGGGCTAACAGAGCTAAAAGTAGCCTCTCCATCCAGCCAAAGAAAATGTTGGCTTTCCACAAACCCCAAAAGTTTGGCTGCATGCATTCCACCCGCAGACACAAAAGCAAACAAACACCATCGTGAAAATGTTGTCAACATCAGGTATGTATCTTTAGGAGACATTTGATTAAGAAGCAATTATGGCTCATCCTGAAAGCTTTTTCCTCTTACAGAGGATGAGGGATAGTGAGGGAAGTTCAGCTTCAAATATATTTGTGGATTACCTGCACTATAATTACATTTGCTTACGGAAAAGCATAAATCAACAAGTTTGTCTCTAGCTTGCTAAGAACTGAAACGAGCATTAAGCCTTTGCTGCTGCAACACGAAAAATGAACTATAAGGAAAAATGTATTCAAGAGCAAATAAGATGAAGAGGAACCGATCTGAAACAAAAAAACTCTATTCAAGAGAGATTGACGAAGATGAACTCACCTATCTGTTGTTCTCAACTTGGAGTGACTGGGAGGAAAGGAGTGAGGGAGCAAAGGATGGAAAAAAAGCACCGACTTTTGCTCCTTCTGTCTCACTCTATTCTCCACATTTCCCTCCCTCTTGCTTTTTTTGTCACTCCCTCAGAGGGGACTTTTTTTTTCGCTCCCTCCCATTTTCCTCATTATTCTCACAATTCCAACTGATTACATTTGTAAAGTCTGACACAGAGAAAACTAAAAATATAAAATACGCGATATATGGTATGCATATGTAGATATATATATAGTTTCTTTCAGATTATATGTCCCTTATAGTGCTTCATAAAGCTTATTCTATGTATTCTTCGTGCATGTTACTGCATTTGGCCGCAGGATGTTGGCTACAAGGGCCCTCCTTCCCTTTCGTGGTCTGAGTACACGTGAGCGCGTTAGCTTACACAAGTCCATGTTTTTCAACATTTCTCATGCACTCCTATATGTACTGCTGTCAAGTCCTCAGTCATACTTAGTCACTCAGGTGAAAATTTCAATGCTACTTAACTCTCCCCGAGTATGTGTTTATCCCACAATCATAAAAAATATACAAGGGAGACTCCAACAGTCACTATGTCAACAGAGGCATGCTCACATCAGGGGTCTTGGCAAGTCATACAATGGCAGTGGTGGTGGAGGGAGTTGTTGTGATCAGGAGCTGGGTGAGATGTGCTCACCACAGCTGATCCCCTCCTTCCTCGTTGTGGCACCACAACTGATGTAAACCCTACAAATACAGTTGGATGGTCTGCTATTAAGCCCCGAGAGAACAATTTCACCCCGTCTTGTGTAAAATCGTGATTCTTCACGTCACACAATAAACTCTAAGACAGGGGTCACCAGCCTTTTTGAGAGTGAGAGCTACTTCATGTGTCCTGATTGTGTGAAGGGCTACCAAATTGATACACGTCTGAAGGATGAGGGATAGTGAGGGAAGTTCAGCTTCAAATATATTTGTGGATTACCTGCACTATAATTACATTTGCTTACGGAAAAGCATAAATCAACAAGTTTGTCTCTAGCTTGCTAAGAACTGAAACGAGCATTAAGCCTTTGCTGCTGCAACACGAAAAATGAACTATAAGGAAAAATGTATTCAAGAGCAAATAAGATGAAGAGGAACCGATCTGAAACAAAAAAACTCTATTCAAGAGAGATTGACGAAGATGAACTCACCTATCTGTTGTTCTCAACTTGGAGTGACTGGGAGGAAAGGAGTGAGGGAGCAAAGGATGGAAAAAAAGCACCGACTTTTGCTCCTTCTGTCTCACTCTATTCTCCACATTTCCCTCCCTCTTGCTTTTTTTGTCACTCCCTCAGAGGGGACTTTTTTTTTCGCTCCCTCCCATTTTCCTCATTATTCTCACAATTCCAACTGATTACATTTGTAAAGTCTGACACAGAGAAAACTAAAAATATAAAATACGCGATATATGGTATGCATATGTAGATATATATATAGTTTCTTTCAGATTATATGTCCCTTATAGTGCTTCATAAAGCTTATTCTATGTATTCTTCGTGCATGTTACTGCATTTGGCCGCAGGATGTTGGCTACAAGGGCCCTCCTTCCCTTTCGTGGTCTGAGTACACGTGAGCGCGTTAGCTTACACAAGTCCATGTTTTTCAACATTTCTCATGCACTCCTATATGTACTGCTGTCAAGTCCTCAGTCATACTTAGTCACTCAGGTGAAAATTTCAATGCTACTTAACTCTCCCCGAGTATGTGTTTATCCCACAATCATAAAAAATATACAAGGGAGACTCCAACAGTCACTATGTCAACAGAGGCATGCTCACATCAGGGGTCTTGGCAAGTCATACAATGGCAGTGGTGGTGGAGGGAGTTGTTGTGATCAGGAGCTGGGTGAGATGTGCTCACCACAGCTGATCCCCTCCTTCCTCGTTGTGGCACCACAACTGATGTAAACCCTACAAATACAGTTGGATGGTCTGCTATTAAGCCCCGAGAGAACAATTTCACCCCGTCTTGTGTAAAATCGTGATTCTTCACGTCACACAATAAACTCTAAGACAGGGGTCACCAGCCTTTTTGAGAGTGAGAGCTACTTCATGTGTCCTGATTGTGTGAAGGGCTACCAAATTGATACACGTCTGAAATAACATTTGTACAAATTAAATTTAATAATATTATGTGTTTTTTTAATACTTCATATTTTTAATTTTCAGGCTCTGATCATCTTAAAGACGTCTCACAATACTGCATTTCAGTTTGCATTTTTAAATCATAATTTCTATGAGCAAATCACGATCCTATCACTGGCGGGCGATTGGTGTGGTCCTCACGGGCTACCTGGTGCCCGCGGGCACCACGTTGGTGACCACTGCTCAAAGAAATGCAGTGCACTAGTGTTTCTAATTATTTGTATACAGGGCACGTTTGACACGTCTGTGTGTAGTGCAGTTGCAGATCATCACCTGTTCAACATATTGACATAACAGAATGAATATCTCTGGCAGTGTGAACGAAAACATCATACAGCATCATCTTTGTAATGGCAGAATATTAAATCTCAGATGTACCAAATGAAATGTCATGTTTTTTTTTTTTGCTAAATCCCCCAGTAAAATGTGCAAATCAAATGCACAGTACAATATTTTGCAATTTGAATACATCTTTTGACAGTTCGCTGTTCAATGAAGCCGCAATCGGGATACAGTACCTCTGAGGACCGAAACAGGAAAATTAGGCTCAAGCGCGCCCTCTAGCGTAGTAAATAACTCAACTCGCACTCAAACTCAGTTCCAAATTGTATTTACCTGTAATGCGATGGGCAGATTAAAACAGCCACAGATAAAATACACAAAACGTGTAGTTTCACATACGGCTGAAACACACAATAATATCAACCAGAAAACAAAAAATGCCTTGAAAACACGCAGATAGGCACGTCTGTTCGTATGTTTTTTTTTTAAAACCGTGATTTGTTAGCAATAATACATCGATAACATTTTAACGGAACGTGGGAGGAAGCCGGAGGACCCGGAAATCACCTCTGTACAGAAAGGCGGGCGTGCCAGTCGACGACCGTGCTTCCTTTGGAAATATGCAATATAATGAAAAATATGAAATTAAAATAAATAAGGTACATTCCTTTGATACCCCTTCTAACATTTAATAAGTCCCCTTTAAAATAGTCATTGAAACTTTAATGATCAGGAAGAAAACACCAGAGAAAAATATCTTGTCGTGTGCACATACCATGCTATTGAAGGGCTTATGAAATGACTGGGAATATTTACTTTTCAACTTGGAAATAAGCTATCAAATGATTCCACGTACCCCTACTCCTCGTTGGGAAACACTGAAATATCTTAAGTCATCTATTGTGAAAATATATGACATCTGGAAAAAACACATACTGGTGTGTATTGTACAAAAAGAATGACTTGAGGAACAAGTAATAGTCGGTCCCGTTTACTAAAACTGATCATGATGCAGACAAAAGAAACCGATTTAATGACAACTGCACTCATCCTTCTGTTTTCATTTTCCAAACTGTCCAATTAACAGCCAGGCACCAATAATTTAAGGTGTCGCTAAAAATAATGGTACAGCATTTCACAAGAGTGAGTGCACACTTAACGTTTGACATTTGACATGACATCCTTTCATTGGACAACACTGAAGAAATGACCCTTTGCAAAAAATGAAGTCAGTGTACAGCTGGTATTACAGTGTAAATGTATTGTTCCCTTTAAAATAACTAAATACAGGCATTAAAAGCTCATCTCATTGCAACAAAAGTGAGAACGTGAAAATGCCCAAATTTGAGCCCATGTAGCCATTTCCCCTCCCTGGTATCGTGTGGCTCATTTGTGTTGCAAGGTCTTAGGTGTGAATGGGGAGCACTTGTGTTAACTTGCTGTTATTCTCATTCCCTCTCACTGGAATTTCAATCTTGCGCCTCTTGATAAAGAACTCAAGAGGATCTCAAACAACCCAAAAAACAATTGTCGCTGAACATAGGCCGAGGCAGTAAAAGAGAGCTGCAGCAATGGTGGTCAAGACCACCACACAGAGGATAAACAGGACAGGTTTTACAAAGAACACTCCTCACCATGAACAACCGCAGGAGTTGAGTGCAAGGAGCAACGGTACTGGAGTCTAGGGCAGGATTGCGCAATTCCGGTCCTGGTGTGTTGGACCATGAGACATAAAAAAAAAAAAAAACACACAGAACACCGGCCCTCGAGGACCAGAGTTGCTCACCTCTGGTCTAGAGCAACTGGAAAGGGTTATGGGTTAAAAATGAGACATGACAGAGTTATACTTCATTTCAGGATGAGTGAAGACTATCATAAAGCAAGCTTAAGGCAGTCCAAGAAAATACGAGTGACTTTTTTATTGGCAGGGTAGTGTACATCTGCCTGTCTCCAGCAATCAGTTAAGTGGTTGCTAACACTGCAAATAGAAAATAAACCCATTACATATACAGTACTGTACTGTCATCGACTACTCTCTTAAAAGAGGCAAAGCAAGCATGTTTTGTTCAGTACCCCGAGAGCGTGGAGATTGTCGGGTACAATTTGCGTTGAGTCATGCATTTCTCTCTTTCGATGAACAGCGAGTTGGATTTACACATAATGTCCTTCTCGAGTGCCATGCGGGTGTCCTCCAGGTGGGACAATGAGCTGCGGGCATCTCTCAGCTGCTGCTGCAGAGATGCCAGGGTGGCATCAATCTCCCTCACCTCCCCTTCCAAGCTGTACTCAGGCAGGAAACCGGATGTGAGAGAAAGCAAAATTGTCTGTGCGTGTGTGCGTGTGTGTGTGTGTACCTGATTTGTGGTTCGTCCCTGCAGAGCTCCATGTTGGGTCTGTGATAGCGGCGGTACAGCCTGGACTCAGCCACTCTCTGCGGTGCATCTTTGTCATCGATTGCCTTCTGCAGAGCCACTATATTCCTCTCCTGAGCGCCAATCTGCTCCAGGGTCTGCACACGCACGCCACACACACACACACACACACACACACACACACACACACACACACACACACACACACACACACACACACACACACACACACACACACACACACACACACA